AAATAATTATCCTCCTAAGAAGGTTGTTTTGAGAACAAAAGAAATACAATAATGTTATGCTCCCTTCTCTTTTCCCAGCCCACAATCATAACCTCTGTTACAAGGACTTATGGTAAGAAAACACCTTCAGACTTAAGTCTCAAAAGTTTTAATTTGGGGACTTCCCTGGTGGTCCAGTGGTAAAGAATCTGCCTTCCAATGCAGGGGACGTGGGTTCAATCCCTTGTCAGGAAACTAAGATACCACATGCCGCGAGGCAACTAAGCCCACGTGCCACTACTGTGCTCGTGCATCTCAATGAGAGAGCCCACATGCCCTGGAGCCTGTGCGCCACAACCAGAGAGAGAAAACCTGCATGCCATAACTGGAGAGAAGCCCGTGCGCTGCAACTAGAGAGAAACCTGAGCAGACCTGCGCTGTATTGAAAAGGATCCCGCATGCCTCAACAAAGATCCCGTGTGCCACAACTAAGACCTGACGCAGCCAAAAAAAAATTAAGGAAAATAAATAAAAACTCAAAAAAAGAACTAAAAAAATTTTTTTTAATAATAATTTTTTAAAAGTTTTAATTTTGACATGGCTATGAAATTTTACTTTTGATTTCACTAATTAAACAACATTTGTATATTTACTGAACCTCCCACCACTGTGTATAAAGCACTGGTTTACAACTAATGATAGGAGAGTCAATAGGACAGACACAGTATCTATCACCAGGGAGTTTACAGACTAACAAGGAAAAACATACTGAATGTTTATCCTTGGCATAGAATTATGAAGTAAAAACTCATTCTATAATGGACATAAAGTCACCATTATTTTAGGTATTTCCTACCATAAATCAGTAATATGGAAATGGACCATGTAAAATTTGTATCTATTGAGTGTCTACAATCATCAGTCATGTGACACGAATGAACCTAAGTCGTTGTGTACTGTATGTAGAGAATAAAGAAGCCATCTGACAAATATCTTAGTTACCAGTATGAGGCTGGGCATCAGAATGGACAGATGAACAGAATTTCCTTCATTTTGCTTCAGTTTACTTCTAATCAGTACCACTACCATCTTACATTTGTACTGTACATCAGTTTACTCAACACCTTCTCAAATATTATCTCACTCCCAACAACTGCAGTAATAAAATCAGTCAGGAACCAGAGTAGACTGAGCTTTTTGGAACATATCGATCGACTGAAAGGAAAATTCAGTCAAAATAGATTTAGACTACTAAGAAATGTAGTCTTTTAAATGTATACATTAAAATTTGAAAGAAAAACTTGCATATTACAAATTTTACTTATTTTTATAAACATACACTATGGGCTATTTTCTTTAAGATTATGGATTTACATCAAGATATTATGCCACTAGGCCTGCTATGTAGAAGCTGAAGTTTCTCTTTAAAGAAACCATTGGATCACCTTTCAGCTACATCTTCTATGGAATAGGATTAGGCTTCCAAGAGCAAACTATGGGAGCATCAGATCAAACACTTTAAAAGACAGTTTATTTGTATATTTTGTGAATTCTAGTTTATTAACTATTATGTATACAACAAAAAAATGAAATCTTTTGGGAAGTTTCAGCTTATCTTAGCTGTAATTGCAGTAATGAAGAAAATACATTTTTGCTGTCTTCTAGAAAAAATTGTTAATAAGGGAGTTATATGCTCCCAAAGACCAAAGTGATAGTGACAAAAGTAATTTAAATGAGAAAATCCTAGAAGGTGAAATTTCTGCAGAAACTGTTAAGGTTGCTGAGTCAGCCATCCTCTTGACACCAAGATGTTCGCATTTCAGAATGGGCTCCATACTGAAATGTTATTTACCTTGCAAAACCCATCTCAAATACAATCTCAAGAAAACCTTCCATAATTCCTCCAAAAGGCATGAATATAGAATTGCTAACACAGCAAGGAGAGATCAGTTATGTACTCTTGGTGTTACTGAGTCCAAGCTCGCTCTGCTTGCCACACAACTGGCCAAAATCGGAGACGAGGTGCTGAGGCAGGGAATACGACTTTATTCGGAAAGCTGGAAGACCAAGAAGGTGGCAGATAAGTGTCTCTGAAAAACCATCTTCCAGGGGTGTGGATGCCAGTTTCTTTTATAGCACAGAGAGGGGGAGGAGATGAGGAAGTAAAGTAAAAAGGCCATAAGTTTTGCAAATATCCCCTGGAATGGCCAGCCTGGAGGAGAGGATGTGTTAATTTCTTCTTTCTTGTGGCCATCCACAGGTGGAACAGGGTCCAGATGTTTCCCTGAACAAAGTCACTTTGGTTTAACCTTCAGGCAGAGGGTCAGGGTTCCCCCAGGCAGGGCGTTATGTATACACACTATCCTTTTAGTGAACAAAAGCAGCAGAAAGCAAAGGTTACAGAAACGGATCCAACATGGAGTCCAATTTGGCTCTTCCCTGTTACATTAGAATTTCCCCCACCATCACAGCCACAAACCTAGTCCCAGCGACCATCTCTGGGTGGTTTCCCCACATCTATTCTTGTCCCCATTCAATTCAGTGTCTACACAGGAGTCAGGGTGACCTTTTTGATTAAGATACAAATTTGACTGTGTGACTTCCTTGCTTAAAATCTTTCAGGGACCTTCCACTACTCTTCAAATAAAGTCTAAATCCTTTGGATAACATGACAGGGGAGTTCACTGCAATGTCCTCTCACTACATTTGAGTGGTTTGAAAACTTCCCTATAAAAATTTAAAGAAAGAAAAGAAAAAGCTGGTCCTAAATCCTTAACATTGTTTAAAAGGCCCCACATCATCTCTGGGGCCCTAACCACAGCCCCCTTTCACTTTCCACACTCTTTCCAACTGCTCTGACCTTCAGTTCCCAAAACCTTCCCAAGCCTCTGTGGAACGGATTTCCTTTACCTGGACCTTTCTTCCCTCATTTGGGAGTCACCTTCATCTAATTCCTACTTACCCGTAATATCTTGAGTGCAAAGATTACTTTTCCTAGGGAAACTTTAACTGATTTCTTCAGCTGGGATATGTACCCCAATTATACGCTCACAACACCCTACATTCTTCCTTTTTAGCTTCTAAGTAGACTGGCATTCACTTGTGTGGTTACTTGTGTCCTCCAATGACAATGTAAAGTCTTTAAAAGCAAAAACCTATAATGGTCACCATCATATCGTTAGTACTCAGCACACAACAGGTACTAAAAACACTCGGATGATAAACTAGGTAACTAACATTAAATATTAAGTAATTAAAGTATGCATGTAAAGTATTTACCACACGCAGGGCTAAGAGTCAGTGCTCAACGCGTTGTAGTTTTTGCCTTGCATCACTGTTTGTGTGCTTAATCACTCCCGCCATCCTGCACATAATTCTTATTCATTTTTGGATTCCATCAGTGCCTCGCTCTAACTTCAGTGTTACACATACGTGCTCAACATTCAGTGGATTTAACTGCTTTTTAAATCAATATGACTTTCAGCATATTTACACATAAGACACATCAACTTTTAAAGTTTCCCATTAAAACTAAAGTATCAATATAATTAAAAACCTTATCAACAGTCCAAAAACACACTTGAGCTATGACTACGAAGTGAAGAAGCTGGTTTTCACGTCGCTTATACAATCTGTCACACTTTACAATTCCACATTGACATAAACACAGACTGTCAATTTCCTATCTTTATTATTACTTTTTTTTTTTTTTTTTTTTTTACGGTACGCGGGCCTCTCACTGTTGTAGCCTCTCCCGTTGCGGAGCACAGGCTCCGGACGCGCAGGCTCAGCGGCCACGGCTCACGGGCCCAGCCGCTCCGCGGCATGTGGGATCTTCCAGGACCGGGGCACGAACCCGTGTCCCCTGCATCGGCAGGCGGACTCTCAACCACTGCGCCACCAGGGAAGCCCTACTATTACTTCTTTTAAATTTATTTTTTTGGTCGCCTTTCAGCATAGTTCCCCCGACTAGAGGAGGAACCCGCGCCCCTGAAAGGGAAGCGCGGAATCTTAACCACTGGACCGCCAGGGAAGTCCCACCTGTCTTTATTTTCTGTGATCTCGAATAAGTACGAAGGAAGCAACGCTGGATGCCACATTAACGTTCGTCATTGCTAACAAGTAACAAACTGCAAATAAAAATCGGACACAGAAAAAAAGAAATTAAATATAAAAACAGAGACCATCTAGCCTACAAAAGTGAGCTGCGGGAGGCAGCTAATGAAGTTACCGAAGAAATGTCCACCCCAAACAGACATGCTCTGGATTTCTGTACTGCACTTCTGCATTTTGAGATTAGAGAACTCGAAGTTTCCGAGCGCTCGCAGAGAGAGAAAACCACCGTGGCGCTTTCCCGGAGTCCGCCGCTCGGGAAAGCCGCGCCTCACCTGCGCTGACCAGGAGTCCCGCCCCGGCCGTCGCGCGACTGTGCCCTTTCGGGGTCACAGACGCGAGCACCGAAACCGAGACAAAGACCGGGTGCGGCGACTCGGCCCGACCCAACGACCGCCACCGCCCCGCCCGGGAAACGCCCGCCCACCCCCGGCGGCCGGCCCAGGAGCGCGGCGCGGCCCCAGGAAACTCACCTCCGGGCGCGGCCGCTGGAGGGGGCCCCGCCGCGCCGTCGCCTCGCGGCCTCGTCCTCAATTCGCTCAGGGACCGCGGGCGCCGCCGCCGCCGCGCCGCCGCCCCTCACACTGGGAGCACTACTGTCCCCAGACCCTCTCAAGCTCGGCTGCCGCGCCGCTGCGACCCTGCGCGCCTCCCTCGGTCACTGCCGCCCGGCGCCGAGGACGCGCCGAGGCCGGCTCTGCGCAGACCCGAGAGCGCGCGCGGGGCCGCGGGGGCCGCGCGGGGGCGCGCGGGGGCGGGGCTGGCGGCGCCGGCCGCTTCGGGCCGCAGCGTTACCCGCGCGAATGGCGGCCGCCGCTTTCTTCCCGTGGGCGCTGCTGCTCCTTGCCTCTTCACCCGACGCGGGAAATGCAGAGAGCTACCTACCTGAGAACCCAGCATCAACTTACCTCCGTACGTCGTCAGCCGCTGATTGAATCCGTGGAGAGATTTACCTGCATTCTGACCATGTTGAACTTCACCTGAGACCTGTGATTCTGGAAAGCGAAGGTTAAAAAAAAATTCTCCCATCCTTTCATGCCCCTGAAAGGGCTGACAGCAAGGAAGAAACCACCCTTCCCCACGTGGTTTAGATAAGACTCAGGGATGCCCCCTTGTTTACCTATGACAAGGTCAGACATAGACCCTCCAAATGCCCTTTTTTTTTTTTTGCCTCATAAATGATTAGCTTTACTTATTGTTCTCACTGACCAATCTGGACAAAATACCAGCTACCTTGTTTTGACCAAACTTAAGCTTCTCTCCTTCCTCCAGGCTCCTAAACTTTGACCCACCCTCATCCTGATCCAGCGTACAAGCCCTCCTTCACCATCACTCCTGAAAAATAGGCTGACCTCCATGTAAACCACTCTGATCTGCCATGCGATCACTGCCACCTCCACCCACCCACTGTGCCCCACACCCAGTTCTTTGTAGCCTTTGTTCGCTCCTCCCTATACAAGAAGGGCCATTTTCTGTCTGACCTTGGAGACAGTTGCAGACTTCACGGTCATAGCCTTGCCCTGTAGCGATGGTTGTTGCCTCATCCCCCAAACCCCATTGCAGTAGTTCCTTTTCCTCTTCTTGGAATAAACCTTTCCAATAAAGTCTCTCTTTATCTAAATCCAGGATTTTTTTTTTTTTGACAATTGAACATTCTCCCCATTGTAATTGTCCTCCAGCCTTATTTCAGTAGTCTTCCCCCTCCCCCCAATAATCCTTTCAAATATAATCTCTATTTCATATTTGTTTTTACGTGACAGTTTTTTTTTTACATAAATACTTGGACAAAACATTTATTATTGTAAACTAAGGGACATTTGTTACAGCAGGAATATTCTACTGGGTTAGGCAGTTCAGTGAAAGGTGCATCCTTTGTTCCTTTGTTCCTCCCTCCCTCCCTTCCTTCCTATTTCTTTCTGTCTCTATCTCTCTCTCTCCCTTTCTATCTCTCTCCCTCTCTATCTTTTTCTTCCTTTTTTCCTTTTTTTTTAAAAATAAATCTTGGAATATACTTGCTTCACAATACTGTGTTAGTTTCTGTTGCACAACAAAGGAAATCAGCCATATGCATACACATGTCCCCATATTGCCTCCCTTCCAGCCTCCCTATCCCACCCCTCTAGGGCATCGCACAGAGCCCATCTCCCTTTTACTTGATAGTTTTTAGTGCTGGAATTCAGATTGATACTGGGCCTCACCTACAGGCCCCTGCCATCCCCACACAGGTAAAGGCACCCTCTGAGTCTTTTGAACTCTTCTTTACGAGAGCAATTCTGGGATCCCGTGGTGAGTTCAGCTTCAAACCAGTTCTCCAGAAATCTTGTCTGTTGAAGCCACTGGTAAGGAGTTACTTTGATTCCTTAGGGCAAAGAGACGTTTCTATGAATGGCCTTGATGTGAGGCCTCTTCTTTTTCCTGTTCTTTTTTGTCCCAGGACCATTTGATAAAGAGAGGACTCTTCCCTGGTCAAAAATCAACTGACCCTAGATATGTTGGTTTATTTCTGGACTCAAAATTCTGTTCCATTTATCTATATGTCTGTCCTTACACCTGTGCTGTTATCCAATGGGGGTTCTGCTGCTTGCCGCTTACAAAGTCAGTTACATACTCACAAATGTTGGTAGTGTAAGGAACGGCACCAAGAAACGGAGGAGAGCTTAAACAAGCTTTACTTGGGCCCGCTCCTGGGCGAGGTTCACTGGTCCGAGAGAAAGGGGCCAGAGAAGTCGCGCCCGGGCGAGGGTTTGGGCAGAATTTATAGGGGAAGAAGGGAAAGGGGTGTGGTGAATCCGAGAGGGCGCAGGTTATTCCTTATTTGGTGGTCTCTTGGCAATATCCAGTGCCGGTTGCATCCGTCTTGGGATCGTTAGTCTCACCCCTCGAAAGGCGGGAAGGCTGCTCTGGGTGGAAAGTCTCCAGGTCAGTTCCTAGAACTGGGTGGTCCGGAAAGTCTCCACGTCAGTTTCTGGAAGTGGGTGGTCCGGAAAGTTTCGGTCTGATGCAACCTGTGAGTCTGATTGCGTTCCCCTGCCTCGGGCCAGTTGGCCTTACAGGTAGCAAAGGAAAGGTGCCTCTAATCAGAATGCTGGGCACTTCCCTGGTGGCACAGTGGTTAGGAATCCGCCTGCCAATTCAGGGGACATGGGTTTGAGCCCTGGTCCGTGAAAATTCCACATGCCATGGAGCAACTAAGCCCGAGAGCCACAACTACTGATCCTGCGCTCTAGAGCCCGTGAGCCACAACTACTGAGCACACGTGCCACAACTACTGAAGCCTGCATGCCTAGAGCCTGTGCTCCTCAACAAGAGAAGCCACTGCAATGAGAAGCCCACGCACCACAACAAAGAGTAGCCCCACTCACCGCAACTAGAGAAAGCCTGCGTGCAATAATGAAGACCCAATGCAACCAACAATAAAATAAATAAATAATAAATGAATTTATTAAAACAAAAATCAGAATGCTGGCAATCTGGGGTGATGGTGGACTCAAGGTCCCCCAAAAACCACCTCCGAAAATTCTGCTCAGCCATGAAAGTTTTAAAGGGAAGGAGAGAAGTAATCTCAGTTAATCATTGCGATATGGGGTCAGAGTCGTTGCCATCCCCCACCTGCCTGCAGGCTCGTTGACTTCTTGTGATCTTCCTCTAGATGTTATACAGCTTGGTTCACACAGTTTGGTCACACAGTTTGTGCGGGAGATTACTGAAGGGGAAGCTAGGGGGGAGATTTGGTCATCTGTTAATTACTTATTCTTCATTTCGACTTCTTTGATCTATGGAAAGAACTGACAAGTTAGGCAAAGTATTGTGTGATTAAAAGATTTGAAAAAAAAAAGAAAAAAAAAAAAAGATTTGAAAGGTGTGTGTGGGCCAGAAATGAGTAGAGCATGGGGGTTAAAAATTAGTTATACTATAGCTTTGCTAAAATGACAAGAAAAGGGGCTTTCTGCTGAGGGTGATCTCCTGCAAAGAGCTGCTTACAGTACCATAATGTTTTTGTTTTTTTTTAAGATGTTGGGGGTAGGAGTTTAGTAATTTATTTATTTATTTTTGCTGTGTTGGGTCTTCGTTTCTGTGCGACGGCTTTCTCTAGTTGTGGCAAGCGGGGGCCACTCTTCATCATGGTGTGCGGGCCTCTCACTATCGCAGCCTCTCTTGTCGCAGAGCACAGGCTCCAGACGCGCAGGCTCAGTAGTTGTGGCTCACGGGCCTAGTTGCTCTGTGGCATGTGGGATCCTCCCAGATCAGGGCTCGGACCCGTGTCCCCTGCATTAGCAGGCAGATTCTCAACCACTGTGCCACCAGGGAAGCCCCCCATAATGTTTTAATTACTGTAGCTTTATAGTAGGTTTTTAAATCAGGAAGTGTGAGTCCTCCAACTTTGTTCTTTTTAAAAATTGTTTTGGTTATTCCAGGTCCCTTGCAATTTAAGACCAGCTCTTTCTTTTCTGTAAAAAAAAAAAAAAAAGAATTTTAGTAGGAATTGCTTTGAATTGGTAGAGCAATTCGAGTATTGACATCTTAACAGTGTTAAGTTTTTTCAAACCATGAATATGGACATCTTTCCATTTACTTATGTCTTCTTTGTTTTGTAGTTTTCAGTGTACAAGTCTTGTACCTCCTTGGTTAAATTTATTCCTAAGTATTTTATTTTTATTGATGCTGTTCTGAAAGGAATTGCTTTCTTAATTTCCTTTGGGATTTTTCATCATTAGTGTATACCACTGATTTTTGTGTGTTGATCTTGTATACAGCACCTTTGCTGAATTCATTTATTAGCTCTGATAGTTGTGTGGGTTTTAAAAAATAGATTCTTGGGAATACGCTGGCAGTCCAGTGATTAGGACTCCACGTTTTCACTGCCTGGGGCCCGGGTTCAATCCCTGGTCAGCGAACTAAGATCCTGCAAGCCGTGCAGCATGGCCAAAAAATAAAACAAATAAAAATTTAAAATAGATTCTGTAGTATTTTGTACATACAAGATCACATCATCTGTGAATAGAGATAGTTTTACTTCTTTCTAATTTGGATGGCATTTATTTATTTAAAATTTTTGCCTAATTATTCTGGCTAGAACTTCCCATATAATTTTGAATAGAAATGGCAAAACTGGGCTTCCTTGTCTTATTCATAATTTTAAGGGGAAAGCTTTTAACCTTTCACCATTGAGTATGATTGCCCTTTCTCATGTTGAAGAAACTCCCTTCTAGTCATAGTTTGTTGAGTGTTTTTATCATGAAAGTTTCTTGGATTTTGCCAAATACTTTTCTGTGTCAATTGAGATGATCATGTGTTTTTTTTTTCTTCATTCTATTAATTTAGTGTATTACATTGATTGATTTTTTTCAGTGCAAATCTGTTTATTGGTTTCCTATTAATCTTTTAGTTGGGCATCTGGGAAGGGGGTATTAGTACATCTGTAGTTAACCTTCTATTTTAATCTGCTTAACTATATTCAGTGAATGATCTATTTTAATGCCCTTCCATCTTGCTTGACATCTTGGACTTAGATCTAGGTATACTTATCTTGTGTAATATCTAATAGATAGAGCTCATGGTCCCAAGACCATTAACAAACAGTCCCTTTTTTTCTTACAAATTTGGAATGCTACCTTATATACCAAATCCCCATCAATGCTGAGGATTGTTCTGGGCCCTGTATTCTGGGTCTGTGTTCTGTTCTGCTGATCTATTTTTTGACTTCTGTTAACAATAGAACAATAATCAAAATACTGTAGGGTTTTTGTTATTGTTTTGGTTTGGTTTGTTTTTTTACCATTTTTTTTTTTTTTTTGCGGTACGCGGACCTCTCACTGTTGTGGCCTCTCCCGTTGCGGAGCAGAGGCTCCGGACGCGCAGGCTCAGCGGCCACGGCTCACGGGCCCAGCCACTCCGCGGCATGTGGGATCTTCCCGGACCGGGGCACGAGCCCGTGTCCCCTGCATTGGCAGGCAGACTCTCAACCACTGCGCCACCAGGGAAGGCCTACCTTTTTTTTAATATGATCTTTTTTTTTAATAAGCTCAGTTGCTCTTTTTGTTATTTTATTGTTTATTTTACTTTTGGCCGTGTTGGGTCTTTGTTGCTGTGTGCGGGCTTTCTCTAGTCGTGGCAAGCAGGGGCTACTCTTCATTGTGGTACACGGGCTTCTCATTGCAGTGGCTACTCTTGTTGCGGATCATGGCCTCTAGGCGTGCGGGCTTCAGTAGTTGTGGCTCGCGGGCTCTAGAGCACAGGCTCAGTAGTTGTGGTGCACGGGCTCGAACCCATGTCCCCTGCATTGGCAGGTGCATTCTTAACCACTGTGCCACCAGGGAAGTCCTTTTTTTTTTTTTTTTCTTTACCATTTTTAAGTGGCATTAAGTACTTTCACAATCTTGTGCAACTCACCACTATCCACTTCCAAGACTTTTTCATCACCCAAACAGAAACTCTGTATCCATTTTAACAATAACTCCTCAATCCGCTCCCCCATTCCTCCAGCCTCTGATAATCTCTTTCTAT